CCCCCCCCCCCCCCCGCCCCGTCTACTCTACTCTGTATTATTTCCACCTTGTATAACCCTAACCGCCACTTACTGGCCAGAGACCATGCATAAAACCTGTAGGAGCCTCTATCACCATGCTGTCAATGACACTATTCATGCCAGAGAGCAACCTCAGACAGAGGTGCACCATGTCAAGGGTACACTTAGAACGCACCTTTTTAAGAAGCCACACAATATTCTAACATACTCCCAGGACTATCCAATAGCACATCGGGAAACATATGATAAGGAAAAATGACCAACTCTAAAAATGATAATGCTATTTTACCTAAAGTCAGAGTCTGAAATCTTAACATGGGCCAAACCTAACCCTACAGTCTTATTTTCATTCCTCTACACATTAGCAATGATTCCTACATTTTTAAGGAGTTGAAAAACCAAAACGAAACCAAAAAGCCCAAAAGTAGATGATCACGTCCCTTGAATGGAGACTCTTGAAGAATGAAGGATATATTATATTATCTGGTTCTTGTCCTTTTAGGACAATAGCATCCTCTCTGCACAGGTCCTGACATTACCATCATTACACCCATGAAGGCCACACAGTGGCAGTGGCACCGAAAGGTTAGAAATTTATGTCTGTCAATTCAACAATCATTATTATCTTTTTGTGTCCAGCAGTTCTTGAGACACAAAGAAAAACAAGAGATCTTTATCCTGAAAGGTTAACGACTTCCTGTGGAACAATACTTGATGTAAAAAAGTAACAAGTCTGTAGTAATCTGACAACACTGGAGTACACTGCAAGTGCAGGTTAAGGATCTTCCAAGTCAACAGCCGAGGACGTGCTTTCACTCATCAGAATGTCCCCCTCTTCCCTAAGGCCTGACAGTGGTTAGTTATCTCAGCCTGTTTACTCCCCACCCTGCACTAATCACAATGCTAGTCAGCAGTCTCCAAAGTGTATATGCTGAATGAGCAAATACACCAACATCATAAAAGAAGTAGAAAGGCTGGAATAAATGGAACTTGTCTATAGTTAAGGTGCCAAAGGATTGATCAGACAGCTAAACAAAAATAAGATTAGAAAAAAACAATATGCAGGTAGCAATTGAAAAAATTCTGAAAAATGTGTTATTCCTCCTATAAAAAAATCTGTCATAAAGAAACCTTAAGCAAAATACAGCGTCCACAATGACTTTATAAGTAATGGTGGGGTTTTTTTCAGTCTAGCAAAGTAATACAATTGCAAAAATAAGCACAGATTGCTACTCTGAAGAAATACTATGTACCAAATAAGTTATAATATATGATAAATAATAGCTTCTTAGAAGACTACTTAAAACACTTTATTACACATAGAATCTAAAAAATGCTTGAACTTCCCACAAAGATCAGTTAAGGATCTTCAAGAGGCCAGATTTGATACTTAAGGCGAAGTACAAAATAAGACCTGCCCTCAAGACGCTCACAGTCTATGAGATGGTATGTAAACAAATTAGTGCAATACAGTATAATTACATAAAATGCTACAATAGAGCTGTGTGGTTAAACTGCTACAGAGAAACAGATGAGGGAATAATTTAATTATGTCTAGAAGACAGAGTCAGAGGAAGCTAAAGAAGTAATGACTTCTCAGTTTGCCTTGTATATTTAACAAACACCACTGCCACTACAGTAAAGACATTTTTCATATGCTTTAAATTAAATAATTTTTTTCAAGTTTTGTATTAGCATATCACTAAACTGGAAAAGGAGAATACTGTAGTGGCTCCCCTACAAGAGACATTTTAAATACTATGCATGTGACTGCTAACAAAGGAGTGCATAATAAAATAGAATGAAAGTCTTTAAGAAAAAAGGCTTTGTTAAACTGAGACTAAGGCAACATTTAGGATCTGACAGAACAAGGAACTTTTTTCGGTACTACTGAAAAATTTTTTTAAAAACCATACTATTTTCAACAATTACCATCTCATTTTCAGTACATGCCTGGGCCTCGATTTTTTTTGCCTTTCTTTCCAAATTCTGACTATTCATGTCTGATTATGCATATCAAATAAGGGCAGAAACACTTAAAAAGGATATATAGTAGTCTAAAAATTACTCTTTAATGATCACAGTATTTATTTATGTACTAAATCTTTACAGCACACAATCCAATATGCTAAATGTTCTGAGATGGAGATTTTTTTTCTCTATCTGCTCTTTTTAAAAACTATCTTATATAACTTACAGGTTTTTTTCCCCAGTGTTCACTAGTACTCACATGGTATCTCATGGACTCAACAGATAAAAGAATAACAAAACTATAAAAGTAAAGTATCACAGAGGCTCATTTAATTTCTCAAAAGGGCTGAGAATTATTGAACAGAATTGTTCTTTAACCTTTACAACTTTTTGCAATGATAATCAAGTGGTAAACACACAGTATTTACAGATTTGGGCATATGCTTGTACATATATTATCTCACATTATCATTCATGTAAGAATGGTCAATCATTTCCTATAATCACTGTCAACTTGCATACATACTGTTTTGTGTTACAACAAAGTTTTTATTCTAGCTGAGAATGTATCACATCAGCACAATACCTGCCAGGTAAGTGCAAGGTCCTGAGTTCAATCCCTGGTACAAAAAAAGTAGTGTTTATTGTAAAAAGGTTGACATAAACACAAAAATAGAAAACAAACAAGACTTATTCAAGCTCCGCAGGGAAGAAGCTAAGAATGTGCTACCTTCACTTCATATACTTTAACAGTACAGCTTCAATGATTTGTAACAGATGATCACCCACAAAACAGGATGAATGTGCTATATATGCTGCATAGATTTTCATTCTGTTGGTTAATGTTTGCTAGGTATTTCTGGCTAGAAAAGATAAGGAAAGTAAAAATGATAAAATTTTAAAGTAAATTCTGCCATAAACTAGTAAGATAGCAATTCTTACCTTATGTGCTTGTGCTCACTGACTAGTATCTTATGAAAGTTGGTACATTTTAAAATTTCCTTCTTGTAGGAGTATATAAATAGGGTAAAAATACACAAGTAGGAGTACTTATATGTTAAAATATTAACTATATAGTTTCCAACTTTCATTTGTATCTACAAAAATTTATGCTATCGAGATATTTCTTGAAAAAAAAAACAAATTTTCAGTCACTTGCAAAGAATATTTTGCTTCCTCAAATTAATGGGAAAATATTTTAAAGTGCGAATAAAAATTATTTTAGTACTTCCAACCTCCTTCCTAATGTGTCTTTTTCTTAAACATTACTATCTCGTATACATAAAAAACAAGACAATTAAATTTATTTACTACCATCAGCTGCTACTTTCACATTCCAAATTAGGGAATGATTGTTAACTGTTGATTAAATCAGTTTTTCAAGACAACATTTATAATGAGTTGCTTGCTTATTTTTTTTTTACTATATGAAAACACCGAAACAAACATTAAGTTTTTGTTCCATAAGTTCTTGATAACATTAATAACCATTTTTAAAAGTCTGCCTTCTTAGTATTAAGTTATTGGATGAAAAGTTTTGCAAAACTTGGACACAGTCTGAAAGCAGTATCACAGAAACCTTTATCAACAGAGAGATCTGGCAGATTTAGATGACAGAAAAATTAGAAAGTATCACCAAAATGTAACAGCCACATCCCTCCTGATGAGGCAGTATATAAATCAGTCAATATTAACCTATGCAGTACACACATCAAGTATGTACAACCTGACTCTATAAAAACACATTCTTAAAATCCAGATTATGGAATATGGTATGAAAAATGAGAAGTCTATACAAGTCCCCAAACTCAAGATGTTAAGAAGGCAGTGGATACAGTAAAATACAAGTCTGAGAAGAGGTTAGACAACAAACACTCTACCTGTCCCCCTAGCTTTCTAGCCTGATACAGTGGTCTAAAGACCAGTGATACCTGGAAAACGATTCACAGTGGCACCAACAGAGGTCAGGAGCCAAAGTGCACTAACTAAGCTGTTACTGAAACATCATCTAGCCTATATTTTCTTGTTGTTTCACTAGCCATCTTTAGTAACTGCCTATTTTGAGAACAATGAATTCCTAATTTTCCCCCCAATTCTGTGAGCTACCTAAAATCATCTGAATAAATTATCTGTCCATCCAAATTACTCAGTTTCTGCTACCTGTAACAAAAGACACTTAAATGAATTACCAAGAGTATTTTGTGAGGTCCTGGTTCAATTTCTAATACTACAAGAAAACAAGTTTAAGGCAATTTCCTCCCTATATCTAGACTTAACTATAATGTCCTTTCTAATTTAAAACCACTTTTACAGTTAAGCAAAACTTACCTACTCTTACAAATTGTCTCAGGTACAGATATAAACAATGAGCATATTCAGAAATTAAAGGTACTATACATCAGTTTTTGAGATTTCTAAGTACCCAAAATTGAAAACTCTGATTCAAAGTATAAGTGAATATTAATTTTTTTAACATCAAATAAAGGACTAAAAAAGCTTGGTAGTAAAGAACTAGGATGAACATTCTACATTTGTAAACACAAGAATCACAGTGGTTTCTACAAAACATTCTCTACAATAAAATGTTTCCTTTTGTTACACTCATTCTGAATTAGTCCAAGAACCATTAGAGTCTCCATCCTGACCTGTCTTTACTTTTACCCCCTCCTCACATGCTTCCTTCTCCCTATCAGTAGAACTGCTTTTCTTTTTTTCTGAAAATCTTTCACATTTCAAATCAGAAGCAGAATTTTTATCTACACTAGAAATCAATGTTCTTTCTATCCTTCACAATATATCCTGGATTCATACCAAATCTTCTACCTGTATCTAGTATTTTTACAGAGTACATTTTGAGGAAGTAGAACATAAGGAGAGTAAAAATACTTACAACGAAGAAGAAAGCAGGTATTAACAGATGCAAATACCTACTATTTACCAAACATGCTGGCTATATAGACTACAATACTTTTTCCCTAAAACACTGTAAAATATGTGATACTACTTACCCTTATTAAAAAGCAGATGACAAAAATGAATCTCTAAAATTAGTTTACTCAGCTGGGTGTGGTGGCGCAGGCCTCTAATCACAGCTACTTAGGAGGCTGAGGCAGGAGGGTCACAAGTTCAAAGTCAGCCTCTGAGCCTGTCTTAAAACAGAAAGGAAAAAAAAGGCTGGGGACTTAGCTCAGTAGTGTGCAATTATGTAGCAGGCATTCAACCCCCAGTGCGTGTGCACGTGCAAACACACATATACACACACACCCAAAAAGTTTTCTTACCTCATGTCAGTGCTCAAGGTTCATCTGACTCCACCACAGATATGTACATCCCAAAGTCAGTACTATTTTATCCCAATGAAATATACCTTCTCATAAAAATTTCCTTTTTACTTTTATAAAACAAAAACTGCACTCATTTCGCTGAACAAGAACTTGTGATATGCATCAAAAGCACCTTTCTGTCCACCACTGTCCTATCATTATTCTGCAGCAAGAGTCAATATCCCTGGACTTCTACTTAGGCAAACCCATGTCCCTGGTCGCTTTCCAATTATAAAAACCATGAGCTTAGAAACGGACAGGTCTTTAATGTAAGCATCCCATTTTAATTCAAGGTTATGATGTCTCCAGTTTTCTAGCTTTGCCTGGTGTAGCACGTTAGCCCTGTGCAGTACAGAGGACTCTGCTTTTACTCACCCTCTTTTACCCTGCTAGCCCAGGGTCAATAGAGAGTAAAGGGCATCATTCTTAGGGCTGAACAAAAAAGTTCAAAACTCACTTTATCGAAGAATGTTTCCAGGGATCCACGGAAACTCTCACTCCAATTCTTACTGTGCAGCAAGAAGCACCTCCATCCCACCCTATCCACCTTCCATCCACCCTCCTCTTACGAGCTTTCCCTCACGAATGCTCCTCACTAGGTTCATGGGAGACAGATCTGTCTTGAAAACTCATAGTGAGCCAGGCATGGTGGCACACTCCTGTAATCCCAGCACGGGAGGGTGAGACAGGAGGATCGTTCCACATTTGAGATCAGCCTGAGCCACAAAGTGAGTCTAAGAGCAGCCTGAACTACATAGCGAGATCCTGTCTCAAAAAAGAAAGAAAGAAAGAAACAAACAAACAAACAAAATAGGGAGGGCAAGGGAAGAGGAAGGGGATTTAAAAAAAAAAAAAAGCCGTAATATGTACATGTAATACCAAGCTGATTGTAAACTGCATGAACTGCAAACACCAACTAAACAAAAAAAAAAAAAAAAAAAAAAAAAAAGAAAAATACACACACACACGTTTTTATGGATAGACAGACATGCATATTCCTACACTAGAGATTGTAAAAAGAACTGTTCAAAACCTACTCCAGAATTTTCTTTCAACAGAAATACTAAAAGATAGCATGGGGTGGGGGGCAGTGGGTCAGGCAAGCAGTTAGTGCATTTTTCCAGGGAGCCTCCTACTATTCCCAATTCACAAAAAATGTGGCCTACAGTGCCATCTTCCAAGGCTGAAGGGAAAGGACATATATGAAGATGGTTATATGAATTAGCTCTAAGACTTGATGTGCAAAAGAACCCTGATGGGAGGAGAACTGGAATTAAGTGTCTCAGGGAATCTGTTCAACACTATTTCAGAACAGTTTCCCTAAAAAAAGGATTTATTCACCTCTTATGTGACCCAAGCAAGATCCTAGAAGAGACCTGAGAGAGAAGAGACAGTGTCACTTCACCAAAGTTTCACTTGTAGACCTCAACTAAGAAGAATGCGAGTGTTTTGGTACTTCTTAAAAAACTATTTAAATGACAGCCAGTAGCTCCCATGTTTAATCCCAGGAGTCTGGGAGGCAGAGGAGGGAAGTTCACAAGTGAAGTCCATCTGGGCAACTCAGACTCTTTCTCAAAAAAAAAAAAAAAAAAAAAAAAAAAAGAGAGAGCTGGGGATGTAATTCACTGCAAAGGTATAGGGCTTAATCAGCAGTACTGTACTTCAATCAATCAATGAAATACACAAGTATTTAAATGAACAAGTCATCTACCTCCTGAACTAGATAACCAACTATGGTCTTAAGAAACTAAACTCCACAGAAGCAGCCTATGTGTCCATCAGCAGTTGACAGACAAAGGAAATGCCATATTTACACATAATGGAATACTACTGTACCACAAAGGGTAAACAAGTCATCTGCAGAAAAAATGTATACACCACGAGACTACATTGCTAAATGAAATAAATCACACATGCAAACCTTAAAATACCACATGGGTTCTCCTATGCATATGAGAGACCCCAACTATAAATACAGAGCAAAACACAAGGGAGACTGATTTTGTTCAAATGAAGAGAGTAACAGAAGGATGGAGGGGAGTTGGAAGGGAGGGAAGGGGATGAAAAAAGAAAATGTGTCCTGTATACGTCCCAACTCTCCACAAAGAATATAGCCATTATGTAATGCAAACAAGAGCTAAATAAAAATAAAAACTGGAAAAAGAGAAAGAATCCTACACCACTTTTAATTTGAAGAAAGAGGACCCCGCAGATGGTGCTGCTGGAAGAAGCCAGGTGCTTGACCCTCTCCGTACACAGCTGGACCCTCCACAGCACAGGAAGAAACCAGGGACTCAGTAACCAGCCCTTTTTCTCAACCCCCCCCCCTTTGTATTTTTCTTCCCCTGCCCCTTGCTAAACAGCTGAGGAGAACTCCAGTCACAGAAAACTAACCTCATTCCCCAAACCCAGAGGTCAAGCTCAGCTAACCCAAGTTCTCCTTCATCCTGTCTTTTCTACCCTTTCTCTAGTTTCCCAGCCTTGCATGGCCATTCTTTATCCTCCGGCCTTGCTTCTACTTCCTTCCCAGTGATCTCTGTTTTACACACTATCCCCTCTAAATTTCCCCACCACAGAAGAAACATTTTGCATTCAGACTCCTAATTTATGATCGATTCTGTTCTAGAAGACTTTGCTCCGATGGTCTGAAGTACAAAATCAATAGTTACCACAGACTGTTGAGTTTCTAAATTGTGCTTCACGATATTCTTACTGCTAATATTACTACTTTAACTAGGACGTTGTATCAGCTGTACTCCCTACTGTAATACTGGAAAACTCTAGGGTAATAACCTCACCACAGCCCTGCACCAAAGGACTGGGGACTGAGCCAAACAGATACCAGCATCTCACTCTTAAATAGCTGGGAAGGTAGGACCTTCGGACAGACACAAACCAAGCATCTCTTATACACAGGAGACATCCCTGAAGAACAGGCCTCCTACAGATACCTTGTCCCTAGTGACTTAGATACCTACTACAAAAACTCACAAGGGCCATCACAGAAAACAAAATAAAAATTTTTTGAAATAGAACATGACAAGATGAGGGAGCAAAATGCAATCTTAGACCTTTACAGAACCCAAAACTATTCCAGAAGACATAAACATAAAAGAAACTGGAAGACAGACATCTGACATTTCTGAAATGATAACATTCAAAGAAACAAATCCATGACACTGCGGAATAAATCAGATCTGAAATAATCTCTCAGACAACAAAAAAAGAAACACCAACATTTATAAAGGAATTACTCAGCAAATGTAGAGTAGAGATACAGTAAAACAAATACATGATGATAGAAGATGGAAACTGTGAATGATCAATATAGGAAAGAAACAGAATGCATTAAATAGATTCAAAGAGATAGATATCCATGAAATTAATAACTTCAGTGAAAGGTGGCAAAACTGCTTGAAGGCAATTGAACACAGACTTTCAGACCTTGAGCACAGGGTAGAAGCTATCAATAATGAAAAAAATTACTTCTTGAAAATAACAAAAGATCATGAAATAATTCAACAGTTGCAAGACCACACCAAAAAATAATGTAAGAATAATTATTGTCAATGAAAAAGCAGGAGACAACACAAATGACATACATAAATAAACAAATAAGTAAATGGAAGCCTGGGATATACCTCAGCCACACAAGCGCCTGCCTGGCAAGCACAAGGTTGTGAGTTCCATCTGTTACTCTCCCCTACAAAAAAACTATTTGCACAAGTAATAGCAGAAAATTTCCCAAGCATGGGAAAAGAATCTGATATGCAGATAAGTGAGGCATACAGAACTCCAATTAGCCATAACCAAAATAAATCTATACTCAGACATAAAAGATTAATCAAGATCCCAGAAATTTGGCAACAAGAACAGAATATTAAAAGCTGCTAGAGAAAAAAGAAAAGACCTATAAAGGAAAGCCCATCAGAAACACGGTAGACCTCTTAACACAAACCTTCAAGGCAAAAAGAGCTTGGATGAAAATATTTCAAGTTCTATTTACTCCCAACTCAGATTGACACAACCGTGCAAAACTATCTCAAAATTAACGGAGAGGGAAGAGGCCACACCAGCCAGTGGAAAACCAGGAAGAAAACCACACCAACCTCTATGAGCCAGCAGAAGATGTACCAGCCAGGAGAGAACCAGGGAGGCAAGGAACCGACCACTACCACCACCACCGCCACCTCCTCCATGAGTCAGATGGCAGAGGCAGGGAAAAAAGAAGAACCACCCCTCCATAAAAAACCAGCTGATTCAGAGAAATACAGGCTGAGATGATAACTGAAATAAAGAAACAACCTAATGCTTGAATTGTCTGACTGACTTTGCGAACTCAAAGCCTGTAGTATGAACAACTATTTAGAGAATAACAATATGCAACATAGTATTATGATGGATTCCCTACTGTTTTATTTTTGAAATCCAATACTGGATTCTCACTGTTTTGTTTTGTTTATTCTGTTCTATTCCCTTTATAATAAAAAATACATACATACATATATACGTACAAAATTAATGGAGAAATATTTCCATTATATAAAGAACAACTGAAGAAATTCAAGACACCAAATCAGTACTACCAAGTGTACTGAAAGATATTCAAGACAGAGACAAAAAACAACAATTCAAAGAACAACAAGAAAAAGAAACCACCAAGCAGGGCAAGCAATTAAACAGAGGGGAAAAGCAGGGAACAGCAGGAAAATACCATGATATAGATAAGCTAATACATATCAGTCATAACCATAAATGTAAATGGCCTCAATTCACCAATCAAAAGAAATACACAGGCAGAATGGATCAAGAAACAACAGCCAACAATATGCTGTATCTGAGAAACACATATAACTTAAATTCATAAACTTAAAGTCAAATGATGAAAAACAAAGCTTGATTCAACAGAAACCCAGGATAAAAACAGAGGTAGTTTTGTAGACAATGTGAACTTCCAATGATCAAGAATGACTAAAAGAGATCAAGAAGATCACTACATACTTGTTAGGGGAAAAACTCAGGAGAAAGAGATAACAATCAAAAATATATACGCCCCAAATATGGGAGCACCCAACTGTGTAAGAAAAATATTAAGAGACATGCAAATAAGCAATAACATCAAATAAGCAATAACACAATTGTAATGGGGGACATTAATATCCCATTGTCACAAAAAGATAAGTCAACTAAACAAAAAAAATCAGCAAACAAATAACAGAGAATTGAAGCAAACTTGTGAACAAATGGACTTAGCAGACATTTACAGAGCGTTCTACCAAACACCACCAAAATACACGTTCTTCTTAGTTGCACTTGCAATGTTCTCTATAATAGACCACGTATTAGCCCATAAAACATGCTTAAGTAAATGCAAAGGAACTGAAATTATTCCATGCATATTATTTAACCACAGGACAATGAAATTGCAAATTACTGAGAAAAGTAACTACAAAAACTCCATAAAACATGGAAATTAACATCCTCCTGAACAACCAATGGATCACAGATTCAATTAAACACCATCCACAGTCAAGCCAAAATGCAAGTACAACTTACAGGAACCTGAGGGATGTAATGAAAGCAGTCCTAAAAGAAATTCATAGCAAGGAATTCTCACAACAGGAAAACAGAATGAGCACTAACAATCTAATGCTACACCTTGATCTTCTAGAAAGAGTAAGTCAAGCCCAAAGCCCATACAAGGGAGGAAATGATAAAGATCAGAGCACTGACACAATTGAGACTAAGAAAAAAATACAAAGAATTAATGAATCAAAGACTTGGTTCTCTAGAACAATAAATGAAATTGACAAACTCCTAGCCAACCTTATCAAAAAAAAGGAAAGAAAAAACTCACATTTATGCAATAAGGAATGAAAAACGCACAATCACTACAATTCCTGTGGAAATTCAGAAGATCATCAATTTCTACTTCAAAAATCTTCACATGTATAGGGTGCAAAACACAAATAAACAGATTCCTAGAAACATGAATTATCAAAGCTGAATCAAGGCAATATAAAAATCCTGAATAAGCCTGTTAATGAAATTGAAAATATAATTAAAAACTTACCAACAAAGAAAAGCGCAGGTCCTGATGGATTCACAGCTGAATTCTACAAGAAATTCAGAGAAGGTACATGATTTTCCCCACAAGTGCAAATATTAATTTTCCTAATGTGTACTTTTCTTATATCTCAATTATAGATTTTTGAAAATTTGAAAATTTTGGTTAAATTGCTGTTGTTTCATAACAAAAACACATGCCTTCTGATTGCAAAATTGAGGAAGAATTGGAACAGCCTTCCCCTCATTTTACAGGTAATAAGACTAAGGTTTAGAGAAGTCAAATGATTTGGAGCAAGACAGAGCTCTGGAACTCTGAATTTGACACTCTTGACTAGCAACACTAATTTTTTCTAAATCCCAGTTTGTTCACTTCAAATGGGAATCACCCTAATGTCTACTTCTGCTGATTTCTGTGCAGATTTACATGAAATAATTTGTATAAAGCTTCTGGCATATGATATGGACTCAGTGTTACTTCTGCAAACTACAAAGCTGTGATTACTTTCCTATATTGGCTCTTACATATTTTATACTGAATAGTATGAGATGTCTGTTTTATGAAGTAAAAAATAAAATCCAGTATCAAGAATAATTTTAGAGACTATTTAATGCCATTACTAACTCTTTAATGAAACTGAAAGGGAAGCAATTCTTCCTAATTCACTCCTGGAAGTAAATATGACCCGATATCAAAACCAGAAAAAGACCCAACCAAAACAGAAAACTACAGGCAAATCTCCCTAACGAACATAAATGTAAAAATCCTCAATAAAATTCTAGCAAATAGAATGCAGCAAATCATCAAGATTATACACCATGACCAAGTAGTGCAAGGATTCATCCCAGGGATGCAGGAATGATTTAATATATGTAAATTAATAAATGTAATACACCGTTATCAACAGAGCCAAAGACAAACATCACATGACAATCTCAACAGATGCAGAAAAAGCTTATCATAAAGTCCAACACTCATTCATGTTAAAAACCCTACAGAAAATTAGAATACATGGTATTTACCTCAATTTAGTAAAAGTCATCTATGGAATCGAGAAAAGATGGCGGATAGATAACAGCAGCTACAGAGGCTCTCTGAGATAGCCAGCTTAGATTCCAGGAATGGTGGGGTGTGGGGAGTCCTATGCAGAGGGAGATATACCCTGCTGACCCAGGAAGGAACTAAGCTGAGAGTAACCAATTGGAAATGCAATCCCGGTGCTACGATTGGAACAGCTAAAGTCTCGGTGCCCACTAGAACTCGCAGACTGAATGAACTCTGCTGCCGCTACGCCTGAATTAACATTGCCAGGATAGCCTATTAGTTTCAACTCACTAGAGATGCGAACGCTCCCAGAGTGGGAATTGGCAAACCAAACTGAGAGCACAGCTGGCGGGGGGAACCCTGCATCGACCTGCAGTGAGTGAGAGGAATAAAGACCTTTCCATATACAAAGAGGCTCCAACAGAGGACATTCTGGGACCGGGCAGACTGGCTGGAACAGGGCGCTGCAGTGACTTCAATCATGTATTCCCCTCTCAAGTGGGGAGCACTTGACCTGGGTGACGTCACGGACTGAGGCCCAATAGGCTAGCCCAAACCAAGTCCCTGCGCCTGTCAGTGCACCCTAACGCAGTGAAGCCTTCAGCAGGTTGACCTGGAGGGGCGGGCCCATCATAGGCTGCCCAGGTCTGTACCTCCTAGTACACTGCAGTGGGCGGGACCACCTAATCAGTGCTCTTCAGACAAACTGAAACCAACAAAGAAAGAAACTGGGCCTCCTATATACGCCTTTATGGAAGGAACAAAAAATATGATAAAAGGAGGCAACAAGAAAGGGTCCTCAGTCCCCAATCCTGAGAACATTGATCCAGGAAAGGTAAATGCAAAGGAGAATGAGGACAGAAAACACAATCTCAGGCATGGCACCAATGGACATAAAGCAATATCTTCAGGACCTCATAGACCAGTTCAAAAGTGAAGTATTTAACCAAGTAAAGCAAGATATAAACAGAATAATCAAAGAAATGCTAAACACCTCCCAAGAAAAAACAGGTGGTACAATGGAAGAACAAAAACAAAGGGGGAGACTTGTTTGATGGAGAAAATAGAGAAAACATAGAATACATGAAGCAGGTTCAAATAAAAGTCATCTATGACAAACCAATGGCCAACATCACACTAAATGAACAAAAACAGAAAGTTTTCAATCTAAAATCAGGAACAAGAAAACAAAAAACCTGTTCACCACTCCTGTTTACCACAGTTCTAGAAACATTAGCCACAGCAATTAGACAAGATAAAGAAATAAAAAGGAGTAAGGATAGGAAAGGAAGCAGTTAAATCATCACTATTGATGGATGACATATTCTACAAAGACCCCACAAACTCCACCAAAAGACTTCTAGAATAAGTAAATTCAGCAGCAAGTTGGATATGAAGTCAACACTCAAAAATCAGTATCATTCCTGTACACAAATAACAGGCCCACTGAAAGAGAACTTAGGGGAATAACACTTTCACAATAGCATCCAAAACAATGAAATACTTAGGAATCAATCTAACAAAAAAGATCTACACAGTGAAAATTACAGTACTCTGAAAAAAGAAATCAAAAAGGATTTCAGAAAACAAGAGATATTCCTTGTTCATGGACAGGAAGAACAAACGTTGTCAAAATGGCAACTCCCAAAATTATACATATTTAACGAAATTTCAATAAAAATACCATTAACATACCTCACAGATCTAGGGAAATCATTTCTAAAATTCATCTGGAACCAGAAGAGACCCAGAATACCAAAGGCAATCCTAGGCAACAAAGAAAGTCAAGGCAGGATTCATCACAATCTCTAACTTGAAATTATACTACAAAGCTACTATGATAAAATCAGCATGGGACTGGCTAAAAAAAGTGACCTGAGAATTAGTGGAACAAATTAGAAGATGCAGATATAACTACAAACGCACCTCAACCACCTAAACACATTCACTGAAAGAATGACAATCTTTAATAAATGGTGATGGAAAAACTGGTTTTCCACCTGCTGAAGACTAAAACTAGACCTGTATCTATTGTCATGCACTAAACAAAATCCATAATGGATCAAAGATCTAAATATTAAAACAGAAACACTAAATCTACTATAACAGAATGCAGGTAGAAACCTGGAAGCCATAAGGGGAGGCAGAGAGTTCATAAACAAAAACCAAACTACAAGGGAAGTACATTCAAGGAATCAACAACTGGGATCTCATCTTATTAAAAAGCTTTAGCACATTAAAAGAAATCACCAATAGAGTGAAAAAAAGCCTAGAAACTGGAAAAAAAATTTTAGGCAACTGTCCCCCAGAGAAAGGACTTCTATCTGGAACATAAAAAGAATTAAAAATAATCAGGCCCTTCCCCCAATTAAAAAACCCAATCCAAAAAATGGGCATCTGAGATAAATATACCCTTCTCAGATAAAGAATTACAAATGGCAAATAAGTATGTGAAAAAATGTTCCACATTATTGGTCATTTGAGAAATGCAAATTAACAAGAATGCTGAAATTTCATCTCACACCAGAAAGAAGGGCTGTCATCAAGAATCAACCAATAACAAATGCTGGAGGGGCTGTGGGGGAAAACGAACCTTTCTCCACTGTTGGTGGAAGTATAGATTGGTACAACCACTGTGGAGGTCACTGTGGAGATTCCTCAAAGAACTAGGATTACAGGTCCCATTTGACCCAGCTAGTCCCCTTCTGGGTATTTTAACATCATACTACAGTAATATTATGCCCACCCATGTTTATAGCAGCACAATTTGTAATATCTAAATTTTGGAAACAACCCAAATGCCCGCCAACCTCGGAATGAATAAAAAAGATGTGGTATTTCCATACAATGGAATACTACTCAGCAATAAATACGGATAAACTCAAGGCTTTTATAGGTAAATTGATGCAAGTAACAACCATACTAATAATTCAAATAAATCAGAATCACATATATAAACATCGTATTGTCTCCCTAGTAAAAGAAACTAAAAAAGTAAGATTCATAACGTACAACAGATACAGTGAAAGAAAAACTGCTCAAAAGGAAAAAACAACTGGGACAGGAGAAAGGAGAAAAGGAAAGGAAAACTATATGATAGCTAAGATAATTGTACTACTAATTTCTACTAATTCATTTAAAAGAATGGCTTGTGCTTATATTATTTGATCAATTTTGGAAACCTATGTCTTGTAATCTGAGCAATTGCTTTGAAGATAACAACACACAATATATTAATCACTGGTGATTTCCTATTATCTTATTTTGAAATGTTGTATCATTTTTATTTTTCCCCCTCTTTAAAAAAATAAACTTTCAGGGCCCGGGATTTAGCTCAGCAATGTAAGCACCTGCCTGGCAAGTGTGAGGTGGTGAGTTTGATCTACAATATGGAAAAAAAAACCCAAAGCTTTCTATAAATTAAGATTTAAAAGTTAAATTTCATTTAAAAATCATATATTAATAAAACTCACTATTTTTAAGTGACTTGAAAAGACATAGGTAATTTCCTAAAACAAAGTTTCAAAGAGAGACATGTATTTAATATGCTAACAGCATATTAAGAAGGGCCCCGTACCACATACCAAATAAGTACTGGCCATTGTCACCATCCCACACACCACAGTGGAAGTCTGGCACCCCCATTTTAAAGGGCTGCCAACCACAGGCTGTGTGTATTTTGACTACTACTTCAACATGCTGTTCTAAAACAAAAAAGAATCTTTTTAGTTTAACCATATTTTTAAAATACAACGTTCCAATTATCAAGTGATTTCCACTATGTGTCAGGCCTTGATTTTCAAGCACCTACACTTTAATCCACTAGCAACTTAGAACTGATCATGCCAAAGTTAAATGATTTTACATTTCCAAGGCTTTAAATCCATGTACACTTTAACACAAATGAATGTTGACTTCTCTGAACTTTCAAAAACAACTTGGTAAACTATTTATGAAATACCAGAAGACATTAAGTATGTAACGTCTAAAATTCTAATGTAATCT